TGCGTTCTTATCTCGGGACGGTTTCCGACCGGCGGCGTAAATTGTACCGCGTTCGTTCGGCCGTTTAGAAAACGTGAGATGAGACGGCGAGGAATATACGACGGCGCGTCGAATAAAGATCTCTTCCAAGTGTAACGTCGTCCCGTTTGAACACCGAGGAGAGGATACCAGATTTTCCTTCGTATACATTCATAATCCTGCGGCTTAAAAGTCGCCGGGCTTTTTACGTCTCGAAAATAAAAGCAGTGCCTTATTCTACGACGGGGAGGGAGGTGGGAGGAGAAAGACGTTCCCACGGGGCGAGTTTCCCGTTTTCCGAGCGCCACTAAGTAACGTTTATTTGCGAGAAACTTGGAACGTGTCCATGCTCGTTGCCCTCTTCCCATTTAACCGATGTCGTTGCGCGGTCCAACGCGTGTCCTTTTTTTTTTTTTTCAGTAGATCTGCGTCTCTGCCGTGGAAAATCTAATATTGGTCTTACATCGTGTCAAACGTTTTGTCCCCGACGGAAACGAAGTGGACATTAATAAACACTTAAAAACAGGACGGTCGACGAAATCAGGTCGTGTCTGACCAATATTGACTCGTACTACTCGTTTCAATTCCTTTTCAGCCGTGCTAAGGATCGAAGTGTGTTTGCACTGCGACGAACAGCTCTGTTCTTCCAATGAAGCGAAGCTGTTTGCAGATCCTCGGCCCAATGCAAATCTCATTTCTCAGGTCCGTCCGTGGATGTATCATTTTCGCACCGAATCGTTCCGAGCTTCACGGCTTCGTTCAGCAGAAATACGCGTTTCCCTTTTGGAAAGAGCGTCGCCGAGGAACGTAAGAAACGTTCTCGCGTGCTTCCGACGTGACGATTCTTTCTGATTCCGCTACGGAATATTCGTACGCGTTAACGAACATCGACCGACCACGGGTCGTCGGGGCTCGTTTTTACGGGGGTGCTGGCTCCTCTCGCGTGTACCAGTTTATACGGGCGCGGCGTATAGCGACAAACGAACCGCGAAGCATGCCACGAGCGTCCAGTTTCAAGCTTCATCATTAAACGTTAGCCGAACCGTGCGTAAAGTTTACCCTAACCCCCACCGGGGGATTTAATTTGTTGCCGGATTTCGTTACCGCGGTACCACGCTAGTCCCTTTAATCTCGTTTCCGGACAGCTTTTTCTACCACCAAAATTCATCAGCTCTCACGTTGATTAAAAATTAAGACGTGGATTATTTATTTTAGTATTTACATAGTAAAAGCACTGCTCTTATCAGATGAATGCAACGTGCAATATTCTTTTTATCATTTCATCAATTTCAATGACGAAGAATTAAAAATAATATGTATTGATTTAATTGTGTATTCAGGGGCTGTGTTGTTGGCGGAATTTTCACAGTCTATCAGAGTCGTTAATTAACCGATCTCCGTGACACGCGGGCCACGATGTCTCTGTCACTAACGATTATTAGCTATACCGCGGTGTAATACGAGCAGACACGAGAAGGGGTGCGTGTGGAGCGGGCAGACAGTGGTACACGACCAGGCAATAGGAGTCGGAACCACTACAAGCTGTTACCGAATTACATCGACGCCAATCCCGTTGGCCATTCGTGCGTGCGTGTGCAGTTAGACAAATAATGTTCGTATGCTCGTCGCATCCTCACCACGTTAATCCTTTCACAGTTCTTTAACATTTGGCATTTGCATTTTTTCAGAATAAGAATGCACATAATTTTTACAGATTAAAATTGAAATCAACAGCCGTTAAATTAACCCTTTGCACTCGAGGCCTTTTGCGCTCGGGCGAACCAGCAACTCCAGACGATTTCGGCTATATTAGACAAGAACTTTAGGGGTACTTCAAATCATTTTATACCCAAAAGAA